TTTCATCAAGCCAGCAAAGACAGTCTCAAGGAGAATTACACAAAATCATGAATAACAGGAGGTGGGATTATGGCAGGAGGGGTGGTGCCATAGATTCTGTCCATCAAAGTTCTCAAGATACAAGGTGTGGAGAATATCAACTATTCAATTTACTTTAATTTTTACAACAATCCCTTTGGCACATGAGAAACTATACTGGTTTACTAGATTGATAAGAGCCTCTTGACTAGAAATACTCAGAGCCCAAGACTCTAATCAGTGCTCAAGTTTCAAATCCCTGTGAAAATCTTGTTTTACCATCCAGATTGTGATACATTGAGAACATGAACTGTGGCCCCTTCGGCACTGTTATGAGCATTTAAAAAAATGCAACAGATGTCTTACTGTTTGATATGCTCATATAAATAATGAGATAAACAATAATAAGGCTTTATGAAGTTAACAATAAAAATTGAAACTGGTGCTTCTGACCGAGACGGTCTTAATGTTCCCTTTAGCTTGACTAAACATCAGGCAGACTTCTTCCTGACTCTAGGACCCTTACATTCCTTTTTCTGAGACATTTACTTTAGAAAAATGCTAATTGTAAATCCTTCTCTGCCTTTGATAACACAAACCTTTCTAAAAGCCTGTTGCCACTATACATCCAGGACTGTCTTTCTCTGGGATTTAGGAGCCTTCCTTTTGAAATGTAGTTTTCAAGGACGATAGAATCTCTTACCTCCCAGTTTCTGTGGGAGGGAAAGAGACTAAACTCCAGTAGGTTTCTAGCTCCAATTCGTAAAACTACCTCCTTTCATTTAGAAAAAGCTTACTTTTACTTTGAATAAAGCCAACCGGCTAACACAGAAGGCCTACAATCTCCCCTTCACCCCAGATTTTAAAAACCCTACTGCTCCAAGGAGAGAACAAAAGGGAGAGATGAGGGAGGGCCGGTGGGGAGGGAGGGAAAAGGGGATTGTCGGGTATCATGATTGGTGCACATGGTGTGTGTGGGGTCTAGGGGAAGACAGTGTAGCACAGAGAAGACAAGTAGTGACTCTGTGGCATCTTACTACACTGATGGACAGTGACTGCAATAGGGTATGGCAGGGATTTCGATAATAAGGGTGAATGTAATAACCACATTGTTTTCCTTGTGAAACCTTCATAAGAATGACACCTCAATCAAAAAAAAAGCAAAGCAAAAAAAAACCCTACTGCTTTTTGCTTCCTTGGCATTGTGTTCAAACTCAGCCTGGTCTCTCTCCCTATTGCAATAGCCTTGAATAAAGTCTTCTATGCCTGTTTAAATTTGTCCATTGCAATTTTTGTTTTGACAAGCTAAACCTCAATTCCTAACCCTAGATTAATAAATGCTTTAGGAGGTAAATCCCAATAAGATCTTGGAATCAAATGGGATTTCTGCTAATTTAGAAGGATTCTGTCCATTTTAATCAGCAGAGAATGACCTATGAATGCTGGTTTTGCTTTGTTTTGATTACATTTAAAGCCAAGTTCACTTCTCCCACAGGTCTCAGAGTAATTTTCCCATCACTTGAATCAAAGCAAGCAAGTTAAGCTTCTTAGCACTGCCACCATTGTGGCTTTTCTTTTACTGCCCAAGTAAAGCTTTAATTTAGCATTTAAACTCTGCCCTCAGTAAGAAGTCATTGTTTACCTCTTCCACTGGAATCTAGATGAAGCCATGCTCAAAAAACAAAACTCCTCTTTGCATTCCACTGCCATCGTGTACCCCATTATTTATACAGCTAATGTAAAAGCACTGAAGATAATACCAATAAAGCAATTACCAGTTAATATAAATTCCTACATTAGAGCAGAGTATTTACTGGATGTTTGCTTTGTAATCCAAGGCAAGGTTAACTTTGTACCAGCACAAATCATGCAAAATAGGATTTAATCAACTGTCACAGAAAATTATGATATAAAGCATTTGCACTATTTAAAGAAATTATTCATCAATAACAAAATACTTTTTTTTTCTTTTGGATTCATACATCTGCTTAAACACAACTGGAAAAATAGTTTACACCCAGGCTACAGGGTACCACTGCACCAAAAGTAACTTCTTTGTATAATGGCATGTGCCTAAACAGCGGGTCCCTACATGGTTTGGCCCCAAGGCCCAAGAACTTTCATATTTAGGGTGGGTCACAGATTGCTTTTAATTAAGGCCACTATGGAACCCTGTGGCATGGACCTTTGACAAGTTTCTGATCATCAGATCCCATTTTCACACTCAGTTGATTTGGGAAGGAATTCTAGGTCAAAGTAAATATTTCAGGAAATACGTTTGCCTCACCCTACATGCAGACAAAACTGTACAGCTGTTTCCAAGACAAACACTTGGAATACTCCATGTCTACTTATTATTTTTCTTCTTGTTCACCTGCAGAGGATTTTGTAAATTTATCCTATCAATACCAGTATTTTCATTTGATTTTTTTAGTAAAGACAAATGTAGGCAGAAACCATTTCTCTATAGTTATTTGTGGTTATGTTTCTGTTTTCTTAATGTATCTTAGGGATGCTCTGGGACTCACTTTATTTTTCATCTTTTACAAAGGAGACATTGACATATATGTCATCCCCCCCCACACACACACCCATGTTTCTTTTTTTTAATAAACTCATTAGAGGTAGAGTAAGGGCACCCCTTGCAAGGTATATAAGATTTCTTTTAAGAACAAAAATTTTACATCTGACTCTCCCTAGGGGTTGAGAAGATTACAGTGAATGAAACAACCTGAATTTAAGATAAATGGAATTTTTTTTTGCATATTACATTTTTAAAATAGTCTTCACTCGAAACAACACAAAAAGAGTGTGTGCTCTACTAGTCCTTCCTGAAACATGCAGCCTCTAAGGCTAACTTTTATCTTCCCAATTGTGAAAGGGATTTTGTCATAAATATTTTTCTATTCTAGAAAATACTTCTTTGAGAAAAGTTACAGTGATGACTGATATTTAGCATCAGTGGTGTGGATTTAATAAGGTATGTTGAAGAGTGATTTGAATGGAAATTCATGTTGCACTTTCTCAGGAGGGCAGTCTTCACCTAAATTAAACATCTTTGCTTCATGGGAATACAGGCCTAGTGATGTCAAAGTATTTCAAGAGAGAGAAAAAATATGACTTTTTAAAAATGTGAATAATCCAGATGTAAAAATGCTTCCTCCACTTACTTCAATACCCTTCAAAAGCCAAGCAAAATATGTATTTGCATCATACATAGCCCTTGGGGCAGTAAGCCTTTTGGTATTGAAAATAAATTAAATGAGACAAATCATTTGCCACAGGCAGTTCAACTGTGTCAACAAACACGTGTATAATATAGTGGTGAGCACAGCTGTGGAGCCCAGGACTCACCAATGTACATCATTCACCAGCTCACAACACATCAGTATACAACTCTCTATCTTAATGAAACAATGTAAAATGACTACTTGGGAGGATGTTGTTCACAGCAAAGTTGTAAGTGAAAAGAGTGAGTTCTTTGCAACCTGTTGTTAATCTGTACTACCATATCATAGGGGATTTTCTTGGAATGAACACAGAAGATAATATGCAAAATGCTAGTGTTTCCAAATTCTTTTAAATTCTAATATTCACATAGTGATTTTAACCAGATGACATGATTGGTTTCTTCCAGGCATTTTGTGCAAAATAAAATGTTGTGTTGAGAACACAACTGTTTCCATACAGAAGTAAATGGCTTTATTTTTGCCTGATGCCTACATATTTAAACAACTTACTGCCTTGTAATATACACGAAGAAAGGGAACAACTGCAATAACACATCTTGTTTGTATATTCATGTAACCAGCACCCAGATTACCAGCAGCAGCACAGAACCCTTCACTCACTTTCCCTCCACTGAGGGGCACCACTATTTTGACTATTCAAATACTATACATGCTGATTTTGAATGTTATATAAATGGAATCGTACTGTAATCATTTTGAATGACTCTAGTCATTTGAACGATGGAAATGGAATCGTTACTCATTTGTGCATGGCTGTTTATTCAACATTATGCTTGTATGTTTTATCCATATTGCTAGTCATAGTTGTCATTTGTTCATTCTTAATGCTGCATAGTACTCCATTGTGTAAACATGGAATTGTTTAAACCATTTTAATGTCTGTAGACATTTGGTCAGTTCTAGCTTCATGTAATTACAAATAGTATGGCTATTTCTTTTTTATTTCTTTAGAAACCCTATACATTTCTTTTGGTGAAGTTAAGTATGTATTTCTATTGGATATAAACCTCAGAATAGAATTCCATGTATAGGGAATGCACTAGTTGTTCACTTCTGGTAGATCTGGCACACAGTCTTCAGTTATGGTTGCATTAGTTAATATTTCTCACCAGAAATTTATGAGAATTCCAGTTGTTCCACCTACTATCATTCTGGCATTTTCTGTCTTTTTTATGTGAACTGTTCTTCTGGGTTTGTAGTGATATCAACTTAATAGTTGTAATTGTTATGTTCCTGATCTCTAATGAAAGCGGGCACCTTTCAATATGTTTACTGGGTATTTGGATATCTTTTGTAAAGTATCTGTTCAAGTCTTTTTTCTACTGTGTATTTACATTTTTGAACTGCATACAATGATACTTATTTCTGTATAATTGAAGATATATTATTATATTATTTAATTTGATAAATTAAAACATAAGAACATATTAGGCTAGTAAAAGTGGCCTCCTTTTTCCTCCAATAAAAGAGATTAATACCACATCTGGCTTACCTTTTCTTTGAAAATTATAATTCTTATCAGCCATGACTGGGCTTTCTAGAAGCAGAATCATCAAAAAATGAAAACTAAATCTAGAATATAATGAACATTTATTTATAGTTCAGTTTTATTCATAAAAAATTTTGAGGGACAATATTTTTCTGGGGATCAGGGAGACTGTAGTCCACTGTCTTGTCCATGCTATAAACCGAACATTTAAAACAATTCAATTACCTTAAGAATTAATATTTCTATATAGGTATCAAAGAAAAATTATCACACACCTCAAAACTGGCCTCTTTTACAGTATTATAAAAACAGAACACTGAATTAAATTAACTAGTGTCTTCTCCCATGTGAAATGTCCTTTATTTTCATCATTTGAGTTTATCATTGAGTTATCATAGTACCAGGTAATTTATTTCCTGGGAGAGATAAAGTAGAGATAAGGTTTAGGAGGTATTGGTCAGAGGACTGAATTGATTTCCTATGAACAAATTGCTTGTGATAGTGTGTGATGATGAATTATGTTCTGTTCAGAGAAGAAGGCCTCCTTTCCTTTCCTTTTCTTGAACTGGTTGATAAGTCTCCATTGCTTCAGAGCCCCTGAACTGATGATTGCATATCTTTCAACCTGTCTCTGGCTCAAAACTCAAGCTGTATATGAGAAACGACAATACCAGAGTGAAAAAAAAAAAAAGCTGAGAGTGAATTTATGCTGCTGTTTTCTCTGTCACACTTCAACAAAGGTCAGTAACAGGTTTTCCAAGCCATTAAAAGTAATTAGTCTTGCCGTAGCAGCTAGCCACTTTGAGGCCTGTATTTAAGGGAGACAAAAAGCAGCAACATTTTAGAAAAAGTTTTAAAAAGGAACTCATACTTAATTCAAATGCAGAGTCAGTTAGTAAAAAAATCACAATTATCTAGGATTAGTAATCATTTCTTGTCTATGACCAGTGTTCTGTTTTGTTCTTTAATGGTTGATTTACTTTATTACAAAGACTATTTTTATAAGGTATCATTGATATACGCTCTTATGAAGGTTTCACAAGAAAAATAATGTGCTTATGACATTCACCCATATTATCGAGTCCACCCCATACCCCATTGCAGTCACTTTTCATTAGTGTAGTAAGATGCCAGTAAGTCCCCACTTGTTACAAAGACTATTTTTAAGATAATTTTAGGTTTATGTAAGAAATGAATGGAAAGCACAGAGATTTCCCATGTACTTCCTGACTCACACACGCATATATACTTTATCAAACCACCAAAGTGACATATTTGTTATAATTGATGAACCTACATTGACACATCACAATCACCCAAAGGCCATAGCTGATGTTAGTGTTCACTCCTGGTATTGCACATTCTATGATTATGGACACATGTTTAATAAAGGTATCTGTAATTATAATATACAGAGTATTTTCACTGCTCTAAAATCCTCACTGCTCCACCTGTTCATCCCTTTTGCCCATTCTCCAACCCCTGATTCTTGTACTGTCTCCATAGTTTCACATTTCTAGAATGTTATGTGATTATAATCATACTGTATGTAGCCTTTTTATGTTGCCTTACTTCACTTACTAATAAGCATTTAACTTTCCTCCATGTCTTTTCATGGCTTGATGGCTTATTACTTTTTAGACCTGAACAATATATCGTTGTACGGATGCTCTACATTTACTTATTCACCTACTCTAGGACATCTTGGTTGCTTCTAATGTTTGGCAATTACAAATAAAGCTACTATAAACATACATGTACAGGTTTCTATGTGGTTTTTATGTGGAAAAAAGTTTTCAACTTCTTTAGATAAATACCAAGGAGCACAATTGCTAGATTATATGATAAGAATATGTTTAGTTTTGTAAGAAACTAACAAATTGCCTTCCAAAGTGGCTATATCATTCTGCATTCTCACCAGCAATGAATGAGAGTTCCTACTGCTCCAAATCCTAGTGTAATATTTTACTTATGGGGTGGTAACATAGAAGGTATTGAGTTTGTTAATTTCAAGTTCTACTTGTTAATTGCTGGTATAAAGGAAAGTGATTAACTTTTCTATATTAACTTTGTATCCTGCAATCTTGCTCTAATAATTTATTATTTCCAGGAGTTTTTTAGTTGATTTTTTCAAATTTTCTACATAAACAATTATGTCATCTACCAAGAAAGAGGCAATTTTATTTCTTCCTTTTCAAATTGTATCTTTATTTCATTTTTTTTCTGTCTCATTTCATTAGCTAGAACAATATTAAATGGGTGTGGTGAGAGGAGATATCCTTGTCTTGTTTCTTACACTAGTGAGGAAGCTTCTAGTTTCTCATCATTAAATATGATGTAAGCTGTAGTTTACTGAGATTTTTTTTATGATGAATGGCTGTTGGATTTTGTCAAATGCTTTCTATGCATCAATTGATATCATCATATAATTTTTCTTCTTTAGCTTTTGATGTGATGGATTACACTAATTCATTTTCAAATATGGAACCAAGCTAGTATACATGGGATAAATCCTAATTAGTCATGGTGCATACATTTTTATACATCGTTGGAAATAATTTGCTAATATTTTTGTGCATTTTTGCATCTATGTTTATGTGAGATATTGGTCTATAATTTGCTTTTCTTGTAATGTCTTTGTCTGGTTTTGGTATTAGATAATACTGGCCTCATGGAATGGGTTAGCAAGTTAGGAAGTTTCCCATCTGCTTCTATTCTCTGAAAGATATTACAGAGAATTGGTATCATTTCTTCCTTAAATGTTTGGTAGAATTCATCAGTGAATCCATATGGGTCTGGTTATTTCTGTTTTGGAAGGTTATTAATTACTGATTCAATTTCTTTAATAGATATAGGTATATTCATATTGTCTATTCTTGTATGTTTTAGCAGATTATGTCTTTCAAAAAATTGGTTATCAAATCTGTAGGTATGGAGTTGTTCATAGCATTCTCCAATTATCATTGTCATGTCCATAGGATATCTCCTCCTTCATTTTTATTAGTGATTTGTGTCCTTTCTTTTATTTTCTTAGTTATCCTGGCAAGAACATAGATTTCATTGATGTTTTCAAATATCAAGATCTTTGTTTCACTCATTTCCTTCTATTGATTTCCTGTTCTTAATTTCATTGATTTCTACTCTAATCTTATTAATTTTCTTCTGCTTAATTTCTTTCTGCTGACTTTGCTCTTTTTATACCTAGGCAAAGACCCCAGAGAACTGCATTAGGAGACAGGGAAACCTAACAGAACTATTTCCAGTCTTACAGGATGGAAAAACAACAAAAATTAGAAGGTTTAATGAGTAAAAATTCAGTACAAAAGAGGGATAGAGAACTGAATTTATCTTGCCAGTGAATTTTTCCTAATAATAGTTGTAAAGATTCTAGGACTTAGATGGGACAGATGCAGAAACTGAAAACAATGGATTATAAAGCAAAATAGACCTAAATAAATGGAGGAATTTCTAATACTTCATGCTAGGAAGATGGAAATTCTTCCAAAATTTATCTATATACACTTGAATTCCAATTAAAACACTACATTAGCTTTTATTTATGGACAAAAAATACAGATAAATTTGTATTATCTACACTTTCAAAGTAGAAACACTGAGTTCAACAAACTTAAACAAGAATGATTCTTGATATTTATAATATCAGATAGATACTGAGATATATTTTAAACCTAAATTAATTATATGCTGTTGGTGCAAGTACAGAAAATAGATCAGTGTTAAAGAACAGAGTCCAGAAACAGATTCACGTATGTACAGACACAGATTGAACAGTGTTAAGTGGAAGAAATGATGGTCTTTTTAATAAATGGTGTTAGGTCCAGTTGGATATCCATATGGGGGGAAATGTTTTTTAATTTCTGTCTTACACTATAGCCTAATTCTTAATATATTATAAATCTAAGTGGAAATAGAAAAATAAAAATAAAAATACTTTAGGGAAAAAAAGAAAAATACAGTCAAAATCTTAGGGATGGTTAAAGATATCCTAAGACACAAATGGTAATACCATAAAGGAAAAATAATGATAAACTAGATTTTATTCAACTAAAGTTCTTTTTGATCAAAAGACATCAAAAGTGTGCAACATAAACCATAAAATAGAAGAGGATATTTTAGCTAAATTTTGAAATTTTTATAGTTTTAATCTGTATGTAATAATGAGCACAAAAATATTTTTATATACAAATAGATGAATCTCACGAACATAATGTTGATTGAAATAAGCCAAAGACACCATCATAGTAACTATATGCCTACTTGTATCATTCTCAAGAACTTGCAATGATAATATATAGTTAGAAAGTCTGAATAGAAATTACTTTTAGAAGTGACTTGAAAGTGGACAAGAGCTTCTAGGCACTAATATTCTATTTCTTGATTTGGGTGTTGTTTACAGCAATCTGTTTATTTTGTAAAAATGCACATATGATTTGTAATATATGTACACATGCACATGTATGTACACATATATTTATATCTTTATAAGTGTGCCTATCTATATATCTATCTGTCATCTATCTATATGGTATACTTCTATATTTCTTCTTTAAAAAAGTGGTGAGTGATTGGTTATAAAAAAGATAATTCATTTATTCAGCAGATAAGTATAATGTATAATTATTAGGGGTTTGGTGACAGGCGCTCTCCTAAGTGTTCAAGAAACACTGGTAGGCCATATAGAAAAGATCTTCCCCCAGTACTTCTGAGACAAGCATAGATGATTATTAATTTGATAAAATATACCTACGTATTATTAAAATTATTTATTAATAATGGTAAAAATATGAACATTCCCATTTTTATTCTGTCAGCCTCATGTGTTTTTGGAGCACAGTGTCAAATCAAAACTTTTTCCTGTCAGTTAGTTGTCTCATTGTTAAAGAAAAACCCATTACAGAAATGTTTTGGTACTCAAATAACCTAAACTCATGAAGTCTGATTAAACATTTTTTAAAACTTTTTTTATTAAACATTATTTGGAGGAGGAAAATTAGCATCTAAATATTATGAATATTTTCATAGGAACATTATGTTTCTCTACCCAACTTTATTTACTTTTGTGAAGATATTTCCTATTTTTGCATCAAATAACACTGCTTTGGTTTGACCTTGATCACACAGATAAGCTCTCTCTGTTGATCAGAATCTCGAGATCTCGACAATGACAAGGGATGCATATAAAACTCCCATGAAAACACTACAGTCCATAGTCAGAATGGTTTGTCACTTACAGTGTACTTGTGTATTTTGATAATTCAGTCATTTATATTCTCTGAGTGTAGTGACTGGATAAAAATGTTAACTAGATATTAAAATGTGTTATCACATAGCAGTATCTTTGTTCTACATGTTCCATTTTCACAAAATGAATCACTCAAAGCAAAGTACATTAATACACAAACAGTCAAGGGCTATGTGTTGATTTAAGGTAGAGATCCATGATAACACACTTGTTAAAATTATTTAACATGAACAAACACAACAAAACTTATTTGCAAAAAATGATCTATTATGCTTTATTTATTCAAAGCCCTGCAACTGCTCTCAACTATAATCTGTCCTGGTGCTTGAAAAATTTAAATGATTCTCCAAATACTATAACTATAATTAGATGTATACAAACACACATACACATACACACAAATACATATGTATATGACTTACACATCTATGTATATACCATATATATAAAATATACCTACTTAACTATATATTCTGTCAAGATACTAGATAGACTGTCTTCAGAAACATTCTTTTCTTCTCAAGTTATTTGTTTACCTCTTTCATCTTCCCACAAAGCAATTATGAGCCAGTACTCACTCTGGACAGGTAGCTGTGTGTTTTCAACTTTTTGACAACTTTAAAATGGTTGTATCAGTAGAAAATAATATTGCATTCTATTTTCCTTTCATTTTGAACAATAGCATTTTTAATTAAAATAATTTCTATGTAATAGTGAAAAATGTTTGGCAGAAAGTAAATGTTTTGCAAATGAACATAAGCATTATTATTCACGATTTGTTCTTCTTTCTTCCTTTAGCGGAGATGGCTTAAATTTTATTCCAGAAGATGTCTCCAACTTCCAGTAGAAAATTTTAATTCCACATTCATTTTAATAAATTGGCAAATAGAATGGCATCACTCCTAGCTATCTGTTAGCAATTCTTAATTACAAATTCTGTGCTGTTTAATACCAATCACAAGCTTAGGTCATAGATAAATTTTAGATTACCTGTGATATGAAATCCATCATTCTTTGCAAGTAGTTTGCCTTGTATCCTTGCATTATGCCAGATCATGATACCTGTGATCAGAAAGAATCATTTAGTTTTCCTGTTCACTGGATTTATGAAACTGGGCTTTGTCATATAAAAGACATGCACTGAAGAGCATAACGGCAAATACTTTACAAACCTTTTGACTTGGGTTTTTGTATTTATGGTGAGAATGCCCTTGTCGTGTTTCCTAATAACACCCTATAAAAAAAGAAGGTAACATCTTATTTTGGTTCTGAGTAAAAGTTTTGGTTCTCCTGAGCAAGTTGTATTTTTATTATTTATCTATCTATCTATCTATCATCTATCTATCTATCTATCTATCTATCTATCTATCTATCTATCTATCTATCTATTTATTTTTGTTTTTATACTGGGTCTTGGAAAACAATGTTTTTCTCTTTTCTAGGGCAGGTAGGAAATACAAAGCCCAATTTTGACCTATAGTTGGCAAGTTACAGGATTTCCTGACATGTGCCTTGAGGGCTACATTTTACTTTTAGCTTCATTTGATATTTTCATTTGTATTTTCTTTGTGCCTTTCAGGCCTTATCTACAAATAAACTATATATTATTTTCTTTTTCTTTTTTAAAACTCACAAAATATAAGTTTCTTTTTTTAAAACTCACAAAATGTAAGTTAAAAATAAACATACAAACTTACTGCACTCTCCCGCCTTTTTAAAATATAAAACAATCTATAAAATATGTAATTGAAGTCATTTCAAATCCCATCTGGAAGAGTTTTAGTTGGTTCATTCAATGTCATTTGAGTTTTGTTTATAGAGAAATAGAAGAACCAAGGTTATCACAGAGTAATTTAACAGATTATTGATGTAACGTAGGCATAGAAGTTTTCCACATTTTTGAATTATGACCTCTTTGAAAGTATAAATGGAGTTACAGTATAAGGCAGTGAGTACCAAGTGAAGAAACTCACTTGGAATTAGATTATTGTTCATATGCTCTAGTGAAACATACTCAAATGCACCTATTTAATTACTCTAAAGCAGCGCTGTCAAATAGAAATATAATGTGAGCCACAGATAGAATTTTAAATTTTCTGGCAGCCATTTTAAGGTAAGTGAATAGAAGCAGATATAGTTGTTTTTAATAATACATTTTCTTTAATACCATACATCTAAAATATTATCATTTCAACATACAGTTAAAGTAAACGATATTGAGGGAGTTTGCATTCTTTCCTTATTTCTATTTTTTCCTTTCAGGTCTATTAGTGTTGCTCTATGTATTTTTAAGATATATTATTTTGTGCCTCTGTTTAAAACTGTTATGTTTTCTTGGTGAATTGACCTCTTTATTAACATGTTTTGCCTCTATTCCTGATGATATTCCTAATTCTAATGTTTACTTTGTGCTACAGTAATAGAGCCAATACAGCTGTATTAAAAAAAAGTGTTATTTTTAGCATGGGATGCTTTTTTCTAATCTTTCAATTTTAAATTCTCTTTATCTGTGTACTTAAAGTTAGTATTTAGTAGACAGCATGTACTATTCATCTTGTTTAAAAATCTCTTACTGATAATCAGGTGTTCAAATCACTTATGTTAAAAGTATTGATATGGTTACATTTAAATCTACCATTGTCTAGCTGTCTTCTATTTTTTTCCATCCATTCTTTGTTTCTAGCATCCATTCCTGCCTTCATTTAAATCAAGTGTTAGGATTCCAATTCATCTCCACTATTGCCTTATTAACTAAACACCTTCCTCACTCCCTTCCTCTCGCTTTTTTCCTCTTTCCTTTTTTTTCAGTCTTATCACAAGGTTTTAAATATAACTTATCTGAATCTATGTATAAACATTATCATACTACTTTGTCTATAATAAGGGAAGTCACAGTGTATATCCATTTCTTCTCACTTATCCATTGTCATATATTTCACTTGCAGGCTTTACTTGTTATAACCCCACAACACATTGCTATCATTTTTGCTGTAGAGGAAATGTCAGGGTATTTCTTCTCAAATGGGCTAGAGAGTAAATATTTTAGGAACTGTGGGTCACATATTACATTAGGTGAATAGCCTTCATTTTTTGCTTTTGTTTTTATGATTGTTTCAAAATGTAAAATATCATTTTTAACTTCTAGGGCCAGGAGTCTGATTTTGTAAACGGGCTGTAGTGCTAAACATTAAACAGTCAATTTTCTAAAAATAACTATAAATAAAAGAAAAATATTTTCTACATTCACTTCCATTTTTTACCTTTTATGTCCCCTTCATTTTTTTGTATAGATGCAAATTTCCATAAAGTAACATATTCCTTCTGCATAGAAACCTTTAACATTTCTTACAGGAAATCTGTATTCTTTACTATCTCTTAGGTCAAATTCTTTAACATCATCTTAAAATAACATTTTTTATCTTATTTAACATCTCATGTCTTTATTCATTAACACTTCTAACATGTCTATTGCCAATGACTTCAAGTAGTATTGGCTTTTTTCTCACTGGCTTATTTCACTTAGCATGATGCCCTCTGGGCTCATCCATGGTGTTGCAAATACATGTATCACATTTTCTTGAATTATTCATTTGTTGATGGGCACTTAGATTATCTCCACACCTTGGCTATTATGAATAATACTGCAATGAACAGAACATGGGAATACAGATATCTCTTTTGAGATAAAAGTTTCATTTCCTTTGAAAATATGCCCAGAAATGAATTGCTAGATCACATACTAGTTCTTTCATTAATTTCTTAAGGAACCTCTACCACTTTTCATAATGGATGTACTAGTTTACATTTCTATCATGAGTGTGCAAAGGTTTCCTGTTCTCTATATCCTCCCCAGCATTTATCTTGACTTTTTGATAACAGCCATACTAACAGGTGTAGTGGGGTTTCTCATTGTGGTTTTGATTTACATTTACTTGATTAATAGTGATATTAAGCAACTTTTTATGTAGCTGATGACCATCTGTATATCTTCTTTGGAAAAATGTCCTTTCAGGTCCTTTGACCATTTTTTAATTGGACTGTTTTTTTTTTCCTGCTATTGAGTTACAAGGGTTCATTATATATTTTAGACATTAACCTCTTATCAGATATATGGTTTGCAAATATTTTTTCCATTCCATAGGCTGTATTTTTGAGGATATTATTTTAATGTGGTGCATCATATTGATTTGTAGATGTAGTACCTTATTTGCATCCCTGGGATAAATCTCTCTTGATCATGTTGCATGATCCTTTTAATACATTGTAGAGTTCAGTATGCTAATATTTGGTTGAGAATTTTTATTTGTACATTTATCAGGGATATTGACCTGTAATTTGTTCTTCTTTTAATGTCCTTCCTTGGCTTTGTTGTCAGGGTAACACTGGCCTTATAAAGTGAAGTTGGACATGTTCTCTCCTTTTTTGAAGGATTTCAACAATAAAGGATTATTATTAATTCTTTTTTAAAGGTTTGTAGAATTCACCAGTGAACCTATCTGAGCATGGATTTTTCTTTGTTGCAAGGTTTTTGATTAGTCAATCAATTTCTGCTAGTATTTGGTCTGTTCAGATTTTCTATTTCATCATGATTTAGTGTGGGTAGATTGGATGTTTCCAGGAATTTATCCATTTCTTCTAAATTATCCAATTTGTTGGCACATATGATCCTTTGTCTCTTATTATCTTTTGTATTTATATAGTTTCAGTTGTAATATCTCCTCTTTCACTTATAATTTTATTTATCTTAGTTTTTTTTGCTGGGGTTAGTCTAAAGGAAGGAAAAATAGGCCAAATTAAAGGGAGAGAGGATATATTGTAAGTTATGGGTTATCAGCTAACAGAATTTAAACCCAATATTTCCTTGTTTCTTCTTCATTAATGTATATTAACTCATATAGTAGTTTTAATTGATTAGAATTGCTAGTGTTTGGATTTCTACACTATGCATCAATTTCCCCTGTTCATATTTAGCCTAAGCTTATTGCTGTGTGCTTTAGTCTTGGTCTAATGAGGAGAATGTCTTGAGAGGGGCTTCATAAAGTAACTTTAATTAAGTCTACTACATACTGTTTACCATAATACTCTACATATATGAAGGAATTTTTCAAAATAAGCACTTTGTAAGGTCATCAAAGATGTTCTCTAACATCCTGGGTATTCACGGAATGTGGACTATGTTTTTCCCTTTTTCACAAATTCCAAGGACACATGCAACCAAAAATGAAAGCACTAGAATTTTCTTTAAAGTCTGTCTAAAACCAAAGATGTCCTATACACTCTACCTCATTCTGTTTTTTTCTTCTTCTCAACCTTCTCTTCTAATGGTCTAAAACTATGCAATAATAAGACATATTTTATTCTTTACATGTATTCTTTATTTTCTTTTTTAATCATAAATATTTTTCACTGCTGCATGTGCTAAGAAGCATAAACAAAATAATAAAAATTCAGTTAGGCCCAATGTTTAAAAGAATGTTTAAGGACTCTGTTCTTGGGTATTAGTGGGAATAAAGGGTTCTATAACATGAACAGCTGGAATAGTGGAGAATTTTTTCTATTACTTGCAACACTCCAGGAGGTTCCTAACTACTGAATGTTAAACAAACAATAATCAACAGACAAACATCGCCAAATTGTCTATTTTCACTTATGAAACTCACTAAGAAATTATAGGCTGTTGCTTTATTCTTAAAAAAGAAAAAGCTATAACTTTATAACTAAGAGGGAATTAAAATAAAAAATACAAGAAAACAAGTAAGAGGCAGGATTTTTTTCAGAATGATTTTATGTTCTTTACAATATGGAAGAAAAATTAAATGTAAATTTTTATTGTGGGTTTGTTTTGTTTTATTTTAGTTGGTTTTATAAAATAGAAACTTGACAGAGGATTCTTTTCACTTTGTTTAAAACATGTCAATTAAATAATTTATGTAAGCATTCATAAAAAACCTATAATCTTTATTTTTCACCTCGAAAGAGGATTTGATATTACTACTTACTGATACATTCAAAACACTTTACTTGGATGTGTGGGTGTAAGTAAAATTTTTATAAACAACATACTAAAACTACTCCAAAGTTATATTCCTGGATTCATGATTTACAGTTATATTCATGACTATATATCAGGTTCATCCATCAACATCCTTTCCACATCCAGTAGGTAATATTCCAATCAAATGAACTGGTTTTTTATAGCATCCTTATTACACTGTGTCTAGGAGGCATGTTTTT